GATCAGTGTTTGTTTAAAACAAAGCAAAAGAAAAATACTTTGCTATTTAGTCTGTGCACTAAAATGCAAGAATTTCAGTTAAAAGAATGGTTAGCATTTTCTGAGAGAATGCCCCTGATCCCAGAGAATATTTATTCTTTGCAATACATGAACTGTAGCCGTGAAGGTATTTTTTATTTCATAAATAAATAATTATAAAAAAGGAAGAAAATGGTTTAGTGTGGCTAAGAGGCTGCTGGGTAATCAGATCACAGGCAAGTTTCCATCACAAAATGGATATGCTTGGTTCTAAATATAATCAACCATATGCTTTAGTCAAAGCTAGTTTTTGGATTGTCATCGAAGCATAGAAGATTTGGGTTGGAACAAGGAGGTCTTCTCATTCAAACCACTTCTCAAAGCAGGACCAATCCCAAATGAATCATTTCAGCTGGGGCTTCATCAACCCTCATCTTAAAAACCTCTAAGGCTGGTGTGATGGATGGGAGGGGCACTACCGTTTTCTAAACATCTGAGCATTCAGTAACTAAAGGGTTAAACCCATAACAGTGGGTATCCAGGAAGTGTTAGCAGGGAGCCAGGAGAGCAAACAGGAAGAAATTTGAAAAAGAACTTAGTCCCCCCGGGGCCTATTGTACATTTCAAAGTTGGCACACTGCCTGCAGCCCATAGTCAGCAGGACTTCCAGCTGGCCCTGGGCTGCACTTGGGAGTTCTACATTCCTCCTTTGAAATGTACAAGAGCCCCTTTTGGGGCTCTTGTATATTTCAAAGGAGGAATGCGGAAGTGCCTGTCGAGGAGTCGATGGAAATTCCATCGACTACTCGTCTAGTAAATTAACCGTTACTCAACATCCTTAATTACTCCTAGTTACTCTCTATAGCATCATAAACCATTCTTTTCTCTCCTCACTGGTTATAATCTTTTAAAAAACAAGACCTTTACTTCAAGTCTGGCTTTATGCAAGATGATTTCTGAATCAGAGATACCATCTATTGGGGACTTTTCTCCTAATAATCACCAGGCTTTTTTTATTATTATTTAAGAGAGAGAGGCTCTCACCACTTTTAAAAAACATTTGAAGACTCTGGAATAGAGGGTGTTCATTCAGATTGAGTGAGTGTGTGCAGGATTTTATGGAACTCTGTTGGGATATCCACATTTTGGCAAACAAAAGTCACAATAGCTATTTGCCAGGAGCCCAAATGTCACACTTCCTCAACTCAAGCAGCATGTTAAATACTCCTTCAATGACTATAGAGAAAAATGGACAAGATACAAGGGCAACACAGAAGGTGGGTGCACACACATACTGGGGCATAAAGCCCAGCTTTACAGTAGCCCAAATGAGGCACAGTCAAGTACACATCTCTTGCTGCAGCCTCTAATCATCTACATTGCTTTTGCCTGCTGGGTCTGCAGTGACTATTTCCATAGCTGCTACCTAGATTATTTTCTCTTGCCATCTCAGAGAGCTGTCTGAGTATATAGCAGTCTTCTTTGGATGGGGGTATGGATGTGTGGATTTGGATCCACTCATCTTTATTGATGAGGTAGGCATAGACTTCAAGCTCCACAATTAAATCATTTTTCATCTGAAACCAAGACATCACGTGGTTTTCCTTTGGAATTACTGTATACTTCTGTTCCTTAGAGGATCAAGAATCTGGCACTTATTCTCCAGCAGGGAAAGCACTTCAAATCAAATCAACCAAATAACTCCGTCTTCCAGTTTTAGAGTGAAATTCCGTTTAGCCGCTTCTCTAACCCCATGAATATTCCAATTTACTTTGCAAAAGGCAAGAAGAATTGGTCTTTTGCAATTTAATATTCTCTTGTGATAAAGAGTAATTTAGTTATAATAATCAAAAAAAGAAATGTAGTTATACATTGTACAAAATATTACTGAAAAAGACGTGTCTGAATCTTCTTGAATAGTTAAAACAATTTCCCTGCTATTAGACAACTCCACTGTTATATACAGGCAGTCCCCAGGTTACGTACAAGATAGGGACTGTAGGTTTGTTCTTAAGTTGAATCTGTATGTAAGTCGGAACTGGCGTCCAGATTCAGCCGCTGCTGAAACTGACCAGCGGCTGATTCCAGGAACAAAGCAGAGCCAAGCCGCGGAGCGCGTGGGCAGCGGATAACCCTGTCCGCTGCCCGCGTGTTCCACCGCTTTGCTTCCTCTCCGTGGTCTGCTGGAGACCAGGGAGAGGAAGGGCCCCGTTCGTAACTGCGGGGACTGCCTGTATAAGCAGTAATAAGAAGAGATCTTTAAAAATGTTAGGAGCATGAGGAAGACATCAGAAAGTGTTAGTCTGCTTAGTGAGGAAGAAGATCTGATGACATCAAGAAGGTCTGGGAGGTTTAATGCCTATTATGCTTCAGGTTTCATTAAAAAGATTAATGGTGACCAGATATTTAATACAATTATTCACAACACGAGGGAAGAACCCAAGACAAAATAGGAAAATAACAGATTAAAGAATATTGTGATAAATTAGGTAGATTCAAGTTAGTAGTACCTGATGAAATTCATCCTGGTTACATAAGATATTAACTGAAGCAAACTTGCAAACTTGGAACCATTAGTAATTATCTTCGAGAACCCTGGAGGCCCCAGAGGACTGAAGAAGACCTGACTTTTAAGCCGCGGAGCACTCCGGCAGCGGGACAGCCGCGGCGCATCTGGGCTGTCCGCTGCCCACGTGCTCCCCGGCTTTGCTCCCCATCTCCCTGGTCTCCAGCAGACCAGGGAGACGGGCAGCAAACCCCGTTCGTAACTGCGGATCCGACATAAGTCGGATCCGCGTAACTCGGGGACTGCCTGTATAGCAACAAACAAGATGTGAACTTTACAAAAACTAGAGTTCGCCTAAAGAAGAAGTGTTAAAGGAGTCTTGACTGAGATATTCCACAGCATAAAGGTACAGTGAAAACTAATCATCCCCTTGTTTTTACCCTTTAACATAGTACTAGAATAACAAGTCACATAATGGAAAAATCTTGACTACTGTATTTAGGCAAACAATTTGAAGTTTGCCTACATTGAGCAAGAACTGTGTTAAGGCCCTGATCTCTCAAACAGTTATGTATGTGTTTAACTCTACTCCTGTGAATAGTCCCATTGATTTTTAGGACCAACTCATTAATAAAGGTAAACATTTGTATGTTTGTAGGTGGCTTATTGAAGAATTTGCCCATTTATTAATTTAGAATAAAATCTGAGGAAATATTTGTTCATAAAGAACATAGTTAACATGTGAATTCACTTTTGAGTCAAACATTGTCATTGAATTATTTAAAATAATTGTATAATTCTTAATAACAATGATCACATTTGTAATGATTGTACATTTGTAGGTATGATATACAAAATGTTTGTAATAAACATACTATAAAGAATGAGATTTCATACTTCTGATGATCATTAGCACATTGGAAGGATCAGAAGGAAGTTCTTGCTCACCCCATCATCTCTCTATATGCAATTTTACATAAATAATTAGGTCCATTATGGGTTTTTTTAAACTTCCACTGTTAGAACACTGGATTTGATGGATCACTATGCTTTCTATCAGAGTACAATATTGTAGTCTACCATAATGAGTTAAAAGTATTTTTTCAATAGTCTAAACAAAACATTCTTATTAATGCAAAAACCAGGTGACTCTCTAACTCTGAAAAATTGATGCCTCCAAATGGAAGACTCTATATAGATACAAAACAAGACTTGTTGCTTATTCTAGCTCAGAAAATCCATGTTCAAGTAAATTTTCAAAAAGTAACTTATTTGTAAATTCAGCAATGGATTTTAGACATTCTGAAATTTGAAAAATATAAATATGAAAGGCCCAGAAAGCTCGAGATTTCATTAAAGGGAGAAACAGTGAGCCACACCAATTTAATCTCAGCACTGATGTTACTTCACACTAGCTTAGCCAGTCTACATCATATAAATAACTTTTACAGTTCTCTACTGTATATCCCCTCAGGTTTCTAAGTACTTTTTCCTCCCTCCAGATAAAACAGAAGAATGTATTTGCAGTTCTTCATGCCTCCTTAGGACTCTTCTGAATCTCACTGTAGGCAACATTATCATCCATCTGCTGAACTGAGTGACGAATATTTTCACCTACTGTTACTTTAACAGCAATTCATACATTTTGTTCAAGCTAATCAAAGCACCTTAAAAACTCTTTCAATATTAAAGATATTTATAAAGATCTTATAGAATAAAATGAATATTGTCTCTGAACTTTGCAAGATTCACCCAAGCATAATATTACTAACAAATATCAGAAACAAAACAACCAAATCAAAACAATCTCTGGAAAAGGATTTAAAAATAGCTACTGTCTTAAAATTTGTTGCTATGAGTTTTATTTATCACTTCCTATCTTTTATGGACAGACAATGCCAAAATTATAACTGAAAACACCATTTTCTAGGTAAGTGACAGGTTCCACTTCCTTGCATTAAAGCCCCCTTTATATCTCTTTGCACTCTGAAAAAATAAACAGATGTATCTACCTACCTGTATATTCAATCAGCCATTGCACTGAGACAGAGAATACAGTTCTGTCAGACTCTCTTACATCACTCTAAATTTTTATTCTAAATAAAAGATCATCATCACAAAACAAGTCATATCAATGAGTTTTTTTACACCTCAATTTAAAAAAAAAAAACAAAAAAACCTCCCATCCAGAGACAGAAAAAAAGTGATCGACTTTGTACTTTATGGACTACAAAATAAAATAATAAAAACTTTGCACTCTTAAATAAATAAATTATTAATAAACAAACTTACTAATAAGAGACTTCTTTTTAATTTTTTTTTTCAAATGATCTTCATTGATAAAGGAAAACATCTCTTAAGCCACATGCATTTTTGGTTGCAAGTCTCACACACACACACAGATAAAATCTTTTGGATTTTTAAACTAACAGTTTCTATAAAAACCTTCTGTACTTACTCCCCCCCTCTCTACTACCTCCAAGATGGTAGGAAAGTTGTTGTTTTGGAGGGCAGAGGAGCTGCTCTCTGATGTTATGTCCTCTCAGTGCCTGTAGTGGTGCTGTAGGAGGCTGCTGGCTCTCTTCTTGAGCAGCCCAGCAGCCCTGCCTTCTTTGCTGGAGAATATATTCAGGGATTCCCCTTAATAATCACCTACCCTCTGAGCACTTTGTACTTTTAAAATAATAAAAAGCCCCCCAACGCGTCCTCCCCCCAAAAGCAGGATCTCCTCAGAGCCAGGGGGGCAGCAGCTGCTCAGCACAGAGCCCGAGCCCATTCCCGGTCCCTCTGCTGGGGAGGAAACTCTGGTCTGTCAGCCCAGCAGAGGGAAAGGGGGGAGAGGCGAGAGAGGAGAAAAAAAAAGCAGCTGGAAAGGTAAAAAATAATAAAAAGCCCCCCAACGCGTCCTCCCCCCAAAAGCAGGATCTCCTCAGAGCCAGGGGGGCAGCAGCTGCTCAGCACAGAGCCCGAGCCCATTCCCGGTCCCTCTGCTGGGGAGGAAACTCTGGTCTGTCAGCCCAGCAGAGGGAAAGGGGGGAGAGGCGAGAGAGGAGAAAAAAAAAGCAGCTGGAAAGGTAAGCCAGGCCCGGCCTGCATCCTCGGGCTCGCGTAGCGCGGCAGGCGGCGCGCAGGGGGCAGGGCGGGCGGCCGGGCGGACTACGCGAGCCCGGGGATTTGG